GATGTAAAGAGCATTAGAGCAGGTAGGCTGATTTTGGCTGCACATACCTTTAGAAATCGTTGAGCTGCAGCCCTCCTGCGTTCAGCTTCCTTATGTATTGTGTGACCTTCAACTTTGCCTCAATCAATTACTATACACCTGCAGTCCATATCACACCTTTCAAGTACAACACATCCAGTACAGCTGCAGCAAAATCCTGACAATCGCCAGTTTAGTAGCGAGAATTACAGAAGTCAAGCATATTTTTACAATTTTAACTTAATTGTGACTCTTATTGCTCATGCTGTTAAAAAACCCTTTTGCGTGCCAATAATGGCATCCAACCCCTGGTCAGTACTGTACTGAAGACCTTTTAACCTTCTGGTATCTTTATAAGGAATTATTCTGGTTTCTCTCACATTACCTCCCAATAGCACAGCATTTTCTTTTTGCAGTGTGGGGGTTTAGAACCAAGCATATTATTTACACTGTTACGTTAAAAATGTTGTTATAATATGATTTCCCTCTTCCATGGAAACTGAACGTGTTTTAGAACATATCCACCTTCACTCATTCTAGTATGGAGCTGATCCATACGCCCAGAGTCATGCCAAGAGTCACACGGCTCCCTGCCTGTTTGAAAACACTCAAGAAGGAAATGGCAGAAGAAAGGAATGAAAAAAGTGGTGCAAATGTTTCACAACAATAAAAGTGACAAATGAGCCGGCTGACATTTCGCACAACAAAGGCATTTGCACTGCACCATAACATAGTACAGATTGCCAAGGATTTAGGAACTAGGGTGCATCTTGAAATAGCAGGCCTAGTCTAGCTTTATTGAGGAAAAGTAGGTCAGCACCAGCCAGGTGGTGCCACAATGTCGTGTCTGTCTGGGTTGAGAGGTACTGCGTCAACTTCGCTGGACCAGGAAATTAACCGTGGACAGCACACAGCTCATAAGCTATAAAATCCGACGGCTTCAATCATTCCATCCACCCAGCGGTTTCTAGCTGCTCCTTCCGATTCAGGGTGGTGGGGGAGCCCATTTCGCCAAACAATGAGGCAAGGCTGAGTGACCTGAACTGGACACCAGACCATCGCAGGACACACACAGACATGCACACACTCACACCAGGGCCCAAGTAACCCACCAGTGTGTCTTTGGACCGTGGGAGGAAATCGGAGCACCTGGAGGAAACCCACACAAACAGCACCCCAGGTCTGGAATCGAACCCAGGGCCCCAGCACTGAGGCAGCAATACTGACAACTGCACCACCATGCTGCCCTCTTTAAGTATCCCTCTTTTTAATAAAGGATGAAGCATCCTACCTAATCAAGTCATTTTCTCAGCATACCCAATTATCACACACCTCATACCCAAAGTATATTCTGGGAAAAGTAGGATGCATCTCTTCAAATGTGTCAGAATTGTGGATCAACATTTAGATGGAAATAGTTTTTTAAAAAACGAATAAACTAAAAACTGAAACTAAACTTAATACCCATAAAAGGTAGGAATTAAGTGGTTAAAACCACTTAAAACCAGTTTAACAACATAGAAACTTGTCACTCTTGCACAGATCTGAATGAACATGCTGATAGCCTTCCTGAGAATATGAATCAGCTTCTCCTTCGGTAAACCCAACGGCTTTTTCAAACCCTTTTCAAAAGCTTTTCTAAAAAGGGCACTTTGGTTCATCTTTATAACTGCTATACAGTTCTTAATTCCTAACTAAGCTCCAATACAGCACCAGGCAATATACAGTATAGCTGCACATGTGACATTTCAACACAACACCTTCATTAAAATTACTCGCTACCATGTCTGACGGAATATTTCACATTAAAGACTGACAATCCAAAACGCACACCAACACCCGTCTACAGAGTGAAAAAAATCCTACAGTCCTAATGACATAATTCCCTGAGACTTTCCAGGGACAGGACCTTGGAGAGACAAAGCCAACTTTCAGAGTGATGAACAGAAGATACAATGAAACGGTCTCTCCCCATATTAACACCAATCGCCCATCCACACATCTCACAGTAAAACATAGCCCTGTCTCTTATGGGAAGCACACCAAGACTCACTGTAATGAGACGTGCTGTCTAAATGAAATGTTATTTACCATTAGCAACCTCAAACAGCTTTAGAGTCCCTGCAGGGATGGTAATGCAGCCTTGATTTACTCCAAGAGGCAAGCATAGCTGCCGAGCAGCAGTGAGATTACAATTCACACACTAACCTTAGCCTGGGAGTCTTCTAATGTCCAGGTGACAGATCTCAGAAACTCCCTGATATTGCCTTGTCCGGCTCGGAAAACTACTCTGCCTGCAGGCTGAAGCAGCAAGAGCTTCACATTTCACAACGGCCAAGATCCCTTTCCCACCCAGCAATCCTAACTGGAGCAAGACAGTTTAATTCCTTCCCACCCCCACCGCCTCACCACAGACGCGGCATTAGTTTAATTAACTAGCCTCCTAATCCGTTAACGAGATTAAATTACAGCCCAAGTAAAAAAAAAAGCAAAAGCTAGAAGCAGTGCTCGCTGTTGGGGCTCTCGCGTGGGTGTGGTTCAGAAAGTTCGGGAGGCCACACGGAGCCCGAGATCAGGATGAGCCGCAGACCTCTGTCCTGTGAACCCATTGCACATAGACGCTCTTACATGGGCTTGCAACTGCAATGGGGCAAAAGGCAACTTGGAAGAACCAGAAAGAGACGCTGAAGTCGTGCTCATAGCCGCGGTCCAAAGCAGGGTGATCATCATCGGAGAGGGGGTAACGCACTGTCAGCTACTTCAAGGAACTGATGAGCCAACGTCCCTGGAGCCTCTTGACTGAGACCAGCCAACAGGACAGCCCTGTGGCCCTGGAGACCACGGAGAGGATCTACAGAGTACCATCGCTGTAAACTGCGGAGCAACGATTCAGGCTGTATAATAGGCGTTCCTGTCGCCCCTCACTACAAAGATGGTCTTGCAATCTGAAGAGAGCAGCTCCAGATATGGGAGTAGTAACCCTAGGTCAGCTGCATGGGGCTTACTGGGAAGATGAGGGTCCAGCTTCAGTGATACAGCCGACTCGCAAATAAAAGTAAATAAGATGACTGCATAGGCTCGCTCTCTAGCTCTTGTAGGTGACCTTGGTTACAATTTCAGAGCAAAATAATTTTTTCCAATATTTTTTATGTTCCCAGAGCCGTCGGCATGTCGGTTGCGAGCCTGTCAGGCGGAGTGCAGGGCATGCACAAGGGAAGACCAACCTCCACACGTCGCACTCACAGCTGGGCTTCTGCAGACTGTACGACAGAGGGACGTTACACTCAATGAAATGGGAATTAAAGAGCCGAAGAGTTCGAAAGTTCAAGGCAAGTCCAAGTGGAGGAACAGTGACCTGATGTACTGTATTAGATTAGTCTGGATAAGACCGTGTAAAAACTCCCCACTCTGCAGAGTGAAATAAGATTTATTCTTAACTAACACATTCTAGACCAGATGTTCAGAAGAGCAGCACAGGGGAGAGCAGACCGAACCGCCGGCTCCAGAGCCGCAGCTCTGTCTGAAAGGAGACCAGCCACCGAGATTACCGTGCTGCAAGAGAGGGAAAGAAAAGGCTGAGAGGAACCGAACTGGAAAAACAGGTGGTAATGGAGCAGAAAATACACACTGCTGGGATGACGAAGCAGCCGTTTATTTTCCCAATATTCCTCTCGCTCCTTGTATGGAGTTGTAAGGGTCGGGAGATTATCAATCAGTTTTTAACGGCATCTCTTTCCAGCACCACCGAGCTGGAAGCAACCCGCCGGCCGGCCCGGGGGCACCAGCGCAGCCTCCCTCTCCTCGCATTACCCTACAAGGACACTCGCCTCCAGCTCTGCTCTGGGCCCCGAAGGACCCCGACGCCACGCAGCTGCACGGCGAATAACGAGCAAACGCACGGAACACAAGGCTGAACACGACCCCAGATGTCTCAGGTTTGGCATTACAGCGGAGCGACGCCCCCGAGCTAGCCCTGAGGGCAAAGGAACGAAGAGCCTGCGCCCCTGTGCCACCCAGCTGCCGATGACGATCAGACTGCTGAAGGCAGTAGCTTGGGGAAGTAAATGTGGGGGAAAGCTCCTGTTGTGGTACAGGGCCACCTCCTCATTACTCTACCCTCTCAATAGAAGAGACTTTTAACAAGATCCTGGCAGAAGGTTAACAAAAAAACAAGCGTACCCCTGCACTGGCACACCTCAATTCAGGCTTGATTGTAAAGTCCTGCTCATGGTGTATAAAGCTCTCTGCTCGCGTAGCAGACAGCGATGAGCCTGTGTCCCCAGCACGCAGCCCGGCTCAGGAGCCTGGAGGTGCAGAGGAGCCACCAGCGCCAAGTGTTTCCTTTCAAGCCTCTGTGTGCAGTGGAGCTGCCAGCACCCTCTTGTGGTTTTTCAAATCCCATTCTCACACCTTGACTTTCTGAACACTGAATAATTCCAAAAGATCGTTCGTTCGCATTGAACACATGTACTTTGATTTCACTTGTATATAGTTTCTATTTACATGTTCTCCATTCAGTGCAGCAACCTCTTCTCATCTTTGAACTTGGCGGCTACTCTGAGAATTTGATTGACTGAAAGGGAACAATGTTCTTTGCAGTTAATAAAATAGGATGTCCAAATTCTGGTCTTCAGAATTCCCAAACCTGCGAGGTTAGGTAAAAACCAACCTTCTCACTTAAATTTTTTGAATTAATAAACTGCTTTACTCAAAGTTTTAAACCATCTGAAATAAAAGATTATAAATCAATTACAAAATGTAAAAGTTGGAAACTAACCCTCGACATCTTTAAAGCAAATAAAAATAAATAAGATTGAAGCTTATTATTAGTTCCTTTAGGTTTCCATTATGCTCAATCCAGCTCAGCTAGAAAAAAGACCAGGACTGGAAGACCTCAGGTGTGTGGATTTTTACACGGGGGTCACGTGACAGCACATGCACTCGATCGGTACAGCGTGAAGGAGCAGGCGGTCGAGCCTCACCTTGCCGACTCCGCTGGAGATCTTGAAGGGTGCGGCTCTCAGGCCCAGGGTCAGCTCTGTGAAGAGGAAGCAGGAGAAAGAGGTCAGGCTAGAGAGGGATCAGGCTCATCAGGTAGAAAACACTTCCTCCAGCCTTCTTTAAGCTTGTCATTAAAACAGGAGATGTAAAACCATTACAAGGTAATTTAAAACAAAAATGATTACAATCTGCTGACTAGCTTTGTCCACAAAAAACTGTACTTTTTCCCCACCTGGTACTAAAACTGCGAAATACTGCAGAAAATCTTAAAGTATAAAAAATGTTCATAGCATTCCTTAATGACAAAATGTTTTTTTTCTTATACGCAAACAAACAGTCACCGTCGTGTCTCCAGCACAAAGGGTTTTGCCTTGATCACCCAAAGCAAAACCTCTGATGGGATCAATTTAATATTTGAGTGCCTCATGAAAGATTCATTCATAAAAAGCAATTGTGTATACAGTATACAAGAAAGCCCTCAAACATCACCGAGCTGAAGCAGGTCTGTAAGGAACAATGGGCCAGAATTCCCCCCAGGCGATGTGAGAGAGGGATCGACTCTTACAGCGAACGTTTCAGTTCAGGTTATTGCTGCTGAAGGGACGCCATAAATTACTGAATCGGGGGGCAGGGGGTCATAATGTTGCACACAAAGATATTGAATGCTGGGTATTATTATTTTCTTAATAATTACAAAGAATTTTTTTGTTATTAATTTGTCAAATGTCAAATAAATGTGTTAATTTAATCTACTATTAAGACTAGGTGAAGGAAAAGTGGCTAAAATGTTAAATCATAAAATCTTAAGGGGGGTGTATTTTGTGTCAGAAGTAAGGAACTCCGATCCTTGTTTGCCGAGTTCCTACAGGTTTTAGAGGCAGCTTTCAGGAAAACTATATACAATAGACAAAGTGGGAGACACTGAACAAAGAAGCTGCTTACGAGCCAGCATGTTTAGGTAGATAAGGTACAATATGTTCAGCTTCAAGACAATGAGGGGAAGAGATAAAACGGAAAACAATGTTAAGACAGATAAAAGCTTAGAATTTAAACCAAAGGCTAATTTTTTTACGATATAAACACCTCATTCAGAATATTGTGTGCAATTTGTGTTACGTTGCAGAAGTGTTACAATGCATTAATCCAGAGAAGAACCATCAGATACACTCCAGGGCTTACAGGAATGCCCTACACTGACATGCTGGAGAAAATGAACCTTTTTTGTACTGAACAGAGACTACTATGAGGGGACCAGATCCAAGTATGGACAAAGTCAACAGCCCAGGCGACTTCTGAGCGAACACTGAAACACAAAGCAAGGAACACTTATGGAAAATCAAGAACAGGAAGCACGTTGTGAAAGTGTGGTCTGTGACACCCTGGGTTCCTTCAAGAAATCAATGGATGAGATACTTGGATCAATGAGCTTACAGCACCCAAACAAATAACCTTTTCTCGTTTGTAACCTATGTTCTAATGAACCCCATTGGACTGGAGTCCCAAAGAGAGAAGCAGAGATCCACACAGGCTGGACTGTGCTGTGCACTACAACCATACAGTAACAGGTCAGCCTAGCCCACAGGCTGCTGCAGGATAAGAGCAGAAACGCTGAAAACCTCTTCTGTTCAGATGGTGAGAAAAAGCGGTTTGTGCCAACAGGTCAGAGGGTCCTTTTTTAATAGAACTTCGGCTGTTCTTGTTTAAGTAAACTGTTTGGCTTGGAAGCCCTTCAAACTGTAAAACTCTCTCCTGTTGTTTTGACAGCCTAGCAGCTGGATGAATCTGTGGTTTAAAGAGACAGTCGAGTGACCAGAGCTAATCCTCTGACTTGTCTGCAGCTTTGCAGGACCTTCCAATAATAAGCCTGGACTGGTCAGTGCCAGGGAGAGTCCCTGAAGGAAAATGCGACGCAGTACACACACTGAAGGGCACCCCATTCACTGCATCCACACTGTTTACCACGGCCCTGCAGTGAGAGTAGACGGTCAACAACTGTAAGCGTGTTAAGATACCACCCTGCATCACAGCTTTAAACCCTCACGGGCAAACGTCAAAACTGAGAGTGAATGTTGACTTCTCTTCCAACTCCTTTGCTTTACAGCAGCTGCTGTTGTAAACCTCAGAGAGGCATAAAGTACACTCTTCCTCCCCAGGTACAGGGGAGAACTTCAAGTTTCCAAGAATCAACAAGCAGGGCTTTCCTCAAGCATGGAAAGAAAACTGATTCTGTCCTTGTCTTGTGGCATTCGGACCTACTGTAGGAGCAGCATCAAGCAGAGCTGTTTTAACAGTGATCCTATGAAAAGTGCAACAGACGATTTATGCAGCGAATCCTCCCACACTCCAGTCAAAACTTGAAGTAATAGATGTGACCATACAAGGACAATTTTGTACTTAGTCAAGACAATAATTTGGCTTGAGTTTATTACTTTGTAAAAACATTCTGACTCAATCTCATGCCACAACCTGCTGCACTGCCTAGCTTTACACAACGTCATAAATTAGCCAACTTTAGATCACTAAAAGAATTATGAGATGAGTCCTCGTTCAGCTCACCATGATGGCTTACGGAAGTCTTCACAGGAGAAATCTCAAATGATACTACACTTTTCACCAGTTCCTGTACCTTCTATCCTACTATGATCTCTGGCAACACAGATCAAGTATGCAGGTACTTTCCAAAGCAGAAAGACAGGGAAACTACCGCACACACAGAACCAGTAAGTCTTCAATGGACTGTTGGAAACAACACACCAGATACAGGTTCTTATTCTGATCCTGAAAGATCCACTTTTCTTGGTTTTGTTCCAGATGATCTGCCAATACAGATCCTTTCAATTGAACTTCTTCCTTGATTAGACTTTTTAAAACTTTTTCAGTCTTTAACCTCTGCTTTAAGCATGTTATTGCAATGGAATTTTGTAAACAGAACTCAAGCCACGTTCTTCTCAAACCTCCTTATTAAATTTGTTACCTTTCTCCTGCCAAACAACTCTTCATTAGCGGCCAAATATGGGTGTGCAGACACAGGTGGGAATTACACATACTGCTCCATGAGTGATTGTTCTGCAGATGGCCAATTACTCACATTCCACACACAGTAAGAAAGGCAGGTATGAAACCTTTGTTGATATGAAATAGCTTGAGAGTTTATTCTAATTATTAACCCCATGCAATTTCAGCTACAACTGATCTAATAAATCAACTTCCTCAAATGATTAAGAGTTCAGTTAGAATGAAAACCAGAAGAGACGGGTATCTCCATGACATGGGCCCATTCCAGGCTCCGGTTACATCACAAGCTGACCGCCAACAGAGAAGAATTGGAGTTCAAGCAACGTGCCGCCTGCCTGCATGCATGTAGTGATGTCAGTGAGAGACGCTCTGCTCCCTTTCCAGCCAGGCACTGTTGAGCTTCCCAAGTGTCAAACCAGAATCACCTTTAAGGAAATTACTCTGGGGTACTTACTGCTGCAAAATCATTTTAAATCCAGTATACCAGAACGCAAACAAGACAATAGACATCATTAAGGCAGTGCACTTCTAACTAAAAATTCTGGTCAAGCAAAAAGACGTCCCTAGGAAAGATGCTATCAGATACCAGGTGTTTCCGGCAGTGTCTTTCCTGCCTGCTTCTTTGCTCTGGAATTGTACAGATTAGCAGTGGAGGGGAGATGGCAGCCAATGACCCCCTCCTCTCCACAGAGCGAGCACATTGCAGCTCGCCTTTGGAGAGTGCAGACACATTGGCACACCAAACTGTTATAGAGGCATCCAGAATATGATCAGTAAAGAGTGAATACATGGTCTATACAGGATCTTACAGAGACTGCTTTTGGAACAGCAAGGAATTTATTGTGTATTGTCAAAGGACGTGATAACTAGAGTGATTCAGATCGCCATCAGCACCAGAATAAACCTGCAATCAATGGCACGCAGAGCAAGAGCTGATGGAACAAGTGACAGCTGATGGGAGGCCTTGGGTTTGAAGCCCCCGTCACTACGGCACAAGCTCAACAGAGGAGGCTGGAGGACCCAGCCCCTGCCCGTCGGTCACATTCTCACCTGCTCTGGAGACAGAGGGCCCCTCTCACTGCACTACGCTCTTCTGCACTGCAGGAGTGGGACGTGGTGCCACAGAGCTCACGCCAACACAGGTCCTACATGCAGCCATTCCTCCGAAACATGTCGCTCCCTTTGCAAAAACGCTCTGGAACACTCTTTTGCTACATTAATTACAAATAAGAAACCCTTCAAGCCGATTTTGTAAGTGGGAAAGAATTCAGTCGCTTCTCAAACAGGAGAAGCAGAAAGCAGCCCATTGTGCTGAAACGCGCTCCCCCCGGCCGCCACCTCATTGTCTTCACAATCCGACTCCTCCCAGCTGTTTACAGTTTGGATGTTCTTTGACTTTTAATGAAGCCCGCTGACTCCTGGAATAAGCGCCTGCTTGTGCTCGTTTCGGTCTCTGCACATTCCTCGCTGCGCTGGTGCGGAGCCGTGGCATTCGCCGCCCACGTGCGCAGTTTACACTTCCCTGGAAACGCGACCGACTCCGCTCTCCTGGGCCCTGAACGCTGGCCCACCGTGTGCTGAGGTGAGCAGGTGGAAACCTCTGGGACACAGCTCTGCCACAGGAGCCCATCGGCTCGGCTCAACTACTACTCTTCTTCCTCCAATCCCCCTCACAAAACATGCACACACCTCTGCTTTTCAGGACCACCAAAATACTAAGACAGCAATTTATAAAGCAAAACCTGCCAAGATATCCGTTTAGAACTTTGCTTTCGATTACAACACTCAATGTTATAATATAATAATGTTATAAAAAAGTGTTTTTTCCTGAGTAAGGAGGAAAGTCAGGCCATTCAGATATTCTTACTGTGGTTCATCATGTTGTGCTTTATGTTTAAGAAAAAAAGCATAACAGGAATATTTAGTTTTTTTTACCCAGGGAATTAGTTTCCAAACATTTTTTTTCCGTTCAGGAGAAAAAAATGCAGCTCTTACAAGCCGACACAGGAGACATGAAAGTGTTTCAGGATACGACATGTAGACGGCAAGACTTCAAGGGCTCCGCTCACCAGGACCCTCCCGCTGGTGCGAAGGTGACATTTAAAAAGCACTGAATACACACGCGCTGATGTCTGTAGAAAATCTCTTTAAAACCACTTATTCACATGTCAATGAATACATTAATGCAATACTTATATATGTGATCACCAATACGAACCAGGGTGGCACAGCTTTCCAAATCAAGGCTATGCAGGGGACAATATTAAAAACCAGGTACTGCACATGCCACTCAATCACAATCACAGAAATGATACATTCCAAGCTTTGCATAGCCATGCAGGAACCTGCTGGCATAACAGCAACCTGTTTACTCTACAGCTCATAATTAATAGTGAACATTATTGTGCTGATCGAACCTGCACATTCCATGTAAAACATCTCACTAACTTAATAGGACTCTAATACTAAAAGAATAATAAATAAGCAATAGTTCATTTTATGTATAATCTGTTTAAGAAAGTAGTGAGGAATATTTTCCAGAGACTTTTTGGATATGGAATGAACTGGTCTGGTTCATACTTGTTTTTAAAATCCTTCATAAAAGAAACATTTCAGCTTGTTTACCTTTGTGCATGAGATCGTGATGAAGGATCACCACCTAACAGAGAAGCAAGACAGTTTCCTAAGCAATCCAGGAGAGGTTTTACAAACAGATGAGCCACTCGGGACCCGGCTCTGCACCCCGGTGTGACAGTCGCCTACCTGCCCGCTGGCCCACGGGGCTCCTCGTCACCCGGGCGCCATTGCCGGAGCCTGAGGGGTGCCCGTTCTTGATCTCGATGGTGAGCAGGGTCTTCATGTCGGGGTCCTGTGCCTGGCAGGGGGCAGGAGCGCTGGGGGTGGGACTCTCAGGTGCCACCCTCGGGGTGCTGTGCTGGTCTGAGCTGGCCGAGCCGGGTCTCAGCTTTTCATCCCTCGATGACGTGACCTCGGAGGCCTGGGATTGGCTGCTCTCGAGCTCCGAGGGGGGGGGCGCTCCAGGACCCGGCGCGTCAGCTGGCAGCCCCCGCCACCTCCCAGCCCCGCTTCGGGACAGAGCGGCAGAGCTCTCGCAGGACGCAGAGCCCGCACCGGAGCGCCCGGCTTTCTCCTGGGAAGAGGTAGGACCCGACACATTTCTCCCGTTCCTCTCCCTTCCTCTGGGCTCCCTCTCCACCCTGGAGGGCTTTCGGAGGCAGTGGTCTTCAAAGAGGCTGGTCACCTTCGACACCGGCGTTTGCACGCGATAGCTTGGCACGGCCCCGTTGCGGACAGCTGCCCTCCTCTGCCCCGAGACGCTGGCCTCCGGCTCGGTGAACTTCTTCACCCGGTCGCGCACCGAGCTGGACCTGCTGAAGGCAGAGGCAGGCTCCTTCCTCCCGGCAGTGCGCTCTGCTGCGACACAGGGCAGAGACACCGCTCAGCTTAGCTCGGGCCAGCCCCCCAGCAGCCCTCGCCCACTCCTGCTCTGCTCCCCCACCCCCGGCTCGCACAGCGAGCAACTTTCTTTCTTTCTTTTTCACCCTGCCTTGTCCAGATGTGACTATTTACTCTTGTCCAGCTCTGATGTGCTGTTAAGCTTCTCCTGGGTTTTCCTTCCCCCCTCCTGACCTAACTAAAAAGCCTTCTTTGCCACTGATTTCCTCCCATTACATTTGCGTTAAAAAAAACAGCTTTAAATTTAACATCAAGTCATCTCAAGCATTTTAAGACAAACATTTATGTTACAGATACTTTACTGCTATGTTGCAAAGGCACATTAAAGCAGTTCCTTTTAAGGTCAAAGGATATGCGTACATTTTTCTTTTAAAGCTCATAACAACCAGTGCCTACAACTCTTCTGTGTGCTGCTATTAACTCCACGCCAGATCTCAACACTGCACAAGATTGGAGTAAATACACAACACAGCAGTGTGTAGTCACTGCACTACTAAGAAAAACTGAGATGAAGAGAGAAAGATCTGTTATAGGTCACTTCATTTTGAAATTTATTATTCTACAGAGAACTGTTTTTATTCAGAGCTGAAATTAATTTTGCACTAAAAGAGCCATCATGCGTCTCCCCATAATTTCACATTTGCTGTATGCTTTATGGGAATGCTTTTCATTACTACTGGCTGCTTCTTTTACATTTCATTTACTGAAATGTAATTAGTTAATTAGCAAATCCAGCAAAACTAAGAGCTTCGGCAAGGACACACGGACATTTACTCTCCAGTAAACAATGCTGTTGTTGTGCTCTACTTTTTAAAGCTCTTTTAACTACAATGGCAAAGTTTCTGCATCTTATGATTAATTCCATTCCAGATCTGAGAACTGCATTAAAGTTTAAGTTTTGCACATCCGATAGTCTGTGCAGTGACGTCAGCGAGATCGTGAGCGCGTGATAATATCGTATAAGTGTGGCTTCCTGTCTAAGACTGTGGGGCTACAGTACACTTACAGTCCTCAAGCATGTTAGGGCTGTCGAGTCCTGGTTCTGGTGTGCTGATGTGTCATTCTATCTCGGCTCAAAACACCGAACTTAAGTGACAGATGGCCATACAAATAACGCACAGGATTTTAAAGTTGCCCTAAACAACAAGTGTGCGAATATTGTGCTAGACCTTGCAGCTTCAGAACCGAGAGCAGCAAACGTGTAACAAAGATCGGCTGATCACTCTTCCTGTCACCGTTTGGATAGGGGGAAATCAGTGTAACTCATTGGACTCATCAATTCGCTTAATTTCCAATAAGAATTACCAGATGGTATTTTAGTATTTGATTGACATGAATGAATTTCTTTCAGTTTAAGGCCACCCATCCTATCCCAGAGGAGCCTCCAGAGCCCTGTGCTCACTACACTGGCCAAGACACTGCCTCTCCAGAGCTGCCAAGACCACGCTTGCACACTGATACAAATCCATCATAAAGCCAATCTACGAGTCACACGGGGCATTGTGTAACCTTTCTTAAAAAAAAAACAAGGGCTTATTTCTTCAACAGAAAATCCCATAAACAGCATGGCGTTAGGGGCATGATCCAAAAGTCAGTTAAATAAGACCACAGGAATACGTTGCTCCCAGTTTTCCAGAAGAGTGCTGAGCTGCGAGGTAACCTCACACACACGTGTATGGTCCTAACCAGTGCTTAAGTTACTGTGCAGAAGAGCTCTCCTCACACACAGGCGGGTGAGAGCACTGAGCCTGAGAGCTCAGGACAGCCCACGGAGGAACACAGGGGAGGAGGGAAAAGGTGTGCAGAGGCTTCTCTGCCTTAAGGAGGCAAAAAATGTACATCGGTTCAGAGGGACCGCCTCGTGTTTCTAACCTCTCCTGGGAGATGGAGGAAGGCAGACAGCACAGAGGACGTCTGTAGATCCATCCTCATGGAAAACCGGGCGAGCACGCAGGCTCCTGCCCCTATAAGGTCTCGTTTGTGCTCCGAGCAGAGACAGAAATAACTCAAAAAGCAATCAGCGCGGTGGACGAGACAGCCCCCAAACCTCCGCAGCAGGACAGTGACCACTACCCAGTCCACTCGCTCCCACTGGACAGCGCTCGACTGCCCGAGCGCGCGGAGCCAGGCAAGCCCGCAGCGATTCTTACCCGAGTCCTGGGCGGGGCGCCGCAGGGCCGGCGAGGGGTCCGAGCTCCCGGGGCGCTGTGGAGAGGTAAGACGGGAGTCATCTCAGCTCAACTCCACTGAGCCTCCCCCCGACTCGCACATTTAATAAACTCTGCCACGTCACTCTATAAACCACACGACAACAAAGTAAGCATAAAACCACCAATATAAATATTTTAAATAACTGTGGTTGCATTTTATCTTTGTCGTTACTTATTGAAAGTTTTAAATTACAGTGCAGTTTCTGATTTTCAGCACTTTCGTCGCTTCTCAAAGCGGAGTTTCTGTTAGAAGATCTTTTCTGATGCTACAAAAGTTCAGTTTTTTCCCCCAACTTCTTAATGTTCTAAAACTGATTTTTTTTCTTTGAATCTTAATCAAGCCAGATGTTCTTGTTGACAGGGAGGCAAAGAACAAATGTAGAGCCCAAAGAAAAAGGTGAAGGGACTGCAGTCTGACTGGAGCCGTGCAGAGCTCTGTGGAACGATGTTACTCTCATACCGCAATGCTTTGCTGTTTTTTTGCATTATTATGATTAAGTTCTTATCATTTAAAGATTAAGCACTCTAGAGCAAGGCTAGGGGAGCACCAGGATTTAGAGAAGATCCCAAGATCACCCCAAGAAGGATGGAGCCCCAGGCCACAGCGGCAGCCCCTGTGTTTGGCTTGGCTGGAGTTCAAAGCCACATTCTGTTCTAACACTTTTCACGCATTCATGCAAAAAAATGTGAAAATGTGAGGTGAAAAAACCAAGACCTCTTGAATCTGAATCGTATTCTGTTTTGTAACTATAGGAATACTAAGGCTTGGGTGTACAAATTCAACCAGAACCAACAAAAGCTGGACAAGGTGATTGCTCGGAAACTCAATGCACAATATATTGCTCCTGTGTGCTTCATACATGTGGAATTACCGACGGTGATGTCATTCTAAACGGTGTGCACGTACAGAGAAATATGCGTCCTTTTCTTTTAATGCTGTTTTTTTTCCCTTCTGGCTTTAGGTCCCCCCTGTGCTGAAAATGTAAACACATTCTCCACAGACAGCTCTTCACAGTGATGTCATGGAGTGAGGGGCGTTCAGGGATATCGGCATTCGTTCCACACAGAACCAAACGTGGACTATAAAACCGCTCATGTCCGTTACCATAATCCCAGTGAGAAAACACTCCATAAACACGGTGAAGTGTGTACATCCATCTCTTGCTTTGTTTATCAGGTTTTTTTCTTGTTTGAAAAGCTAATCTCCCTCTTGATTTAAGCCAGAACCCCACAGCCCCTGTGTTCCAGAAGAAGACAGTGGAGGATCCTCCTTTAATCCTGGCTCTTCAGCTTTGTCTGACATTTTTTTTCAAGTGTATTCCACACATCATGGAAACACTTGCCTCTACAGCACATTTATTTCTACGAATGAATTACATAGATTAGGTGTATTATGCTTTGGGGTTTCCATGGTGATGTGGTGTTTATTAAGAGTCAGCTAACTTATTTTGCCGGAGTTGCTGGTGACATTTAGGGACAAAAGTAAAATGAGCCCCCTCTAGTGCTCAGACTGAAGAATGCATGCGATGGACAGGACCCTGAAGCTTTCCAGGGCTGTAGTCACTACAAGAGTACTTCCTGACTGCTCCCTTCATTTGGAGCAGGGCTTTTAATAGCATATCAGTCCCAAAGAAGACTGTAAATACATCTGAAGAAAAAAGTAGTCCTCTTTAATTCTCTCTGCAAACATAACCCAAAACCCCTCACCTTTCTGTTGTGAGATGACTGCCTAGACGAACGTTCTTTACAGACTCAATTGTGGAGAGAAAATGTGCAGGGGACACACATGCAAGCATGCATGTAAAATGTCCTTTAACTCAGAGTTCTTGCACAACATCGGGCAGCATGTTCTACAGCAGGCTTCCATGAACATTTGGAGCTCAAATCCCAGAAGTCTATATAAGGGTTGCTGTGTCACTATTTCAAGTCTCTTTAATTGATGAAAAAACAAAACTCAAAGTGAGAACTTGAGAAATGAGATAAGTGTTTTATATTGTTGTAATCAGTGGCTGAGAGATGTTGCACGTCTGTGGAGACAGAACTACGCTGTCTTTCAGACAGGGAGAGTCTTGCAAAGTTGACATGCCTGCAGACTTACCAGTCTTTCACTGCTGCTCTCCTTTGCTTTCTCTCCTCCGTTTAACTGGCCATTCCTGGAGCCGGGGTCCCTCCTGGACATGATGTTCCCATCCACTGCCTCTCTGTCTGTGGTCAAACTCTCTTCGCTGGAGTCCTGTACAACAGCCCCTTCTGCAGTCCTGGTCTCGCACTCCACCTCAGAGTCGGTGCTCGAGGAGCTGGTCGTCCCCTGTGACGACAGGCCCAGGCCCT